TCATGGAATTATTGACCAACCAATGACATGCAGGGAAAGTCCACAGCTCAGACTCGAACCAGGGCCGCTGCAGTTCGGACTGAGCCGTGGTGGTACGCACTTCTACCAGGTGAGCCACTGTTAGTCCTTTAATAAAGACCAATCAAAACACAGATCAGTCCCTGTTGTCCTGATGACTCTGCCGACCGTCGCACTGCTTATACTGGTAAAGAAAAGCGTGTCTGTATTTAGGGGTTTATGGTAATGATCCAGTTTATATTTGTTATATTATATTTGTCTGTATGCTGCTCAGAAACACTGATGGCTGCATTCTCAGAAAACTTCTTACTAGCCCATGGAGAGTGACTAAGCCTTGTCTACATCTAGTATCACTTAACCCTAATCTACACCTTTAACGTCTCATTGCTCGACCTTTATCCTCGTCAAGATGCTTCCTGTTTTGCTGTTTAGCACGACCCCCCCCCCCCCCCTCCCTGAGGCGGTTTCCTGCCGATGATAATAAAGCAACATCAACAAAACACATGAAAGTTACTGCGGCGGTAACCATTGTGAAGATTTGGCCCTGATTTTTCATCCTTGAACAGCTCTTGTCGCTTTCATTCGAGTACATTGCACAGTCACGCTCTCGTCTTAACGCAGCCCTTATAACATTAGTTGCACTGCGGTCAAACATGTAAACACAGCCAGCGCCTGGCGTCATGAGGGCAGGCAGCTCAGTGTGAATGCTAAATCATCACGAGGCTGGCGAGCCCATCTGTGTCCTCTCCGGTGGACAGGACGCTCTGATCAACGTGACGGACCACCTTATGAGTCGCCCTGCTGGTTTACATTTACAATTTAAATTTTAGACTTTCAGTTGGAGTGTCATAAAGTCACTGTGTGTGTGCTTTCGCCGCATTTTCTGAAAGGTCTTCCAGCTTCATTTCAAAAATAAAATGTGCATCATTCTCATCTTCAAATGACCTCGACATCTGACAGAATGAGTGGGACTTGCTGTGAAGGATCATGCTTAGTAATAAACATCAGGCAGTTTTGGACGAGTATGTGGCTTCAGGTAGAGCAGGGAGCTCGTGAGGGGAGGCGCAACATCAGAGAGGCCTTTCAATTAAGATCAAACGGCTTTTTTTTTTTTTTTTCATGCAAGGGTCACAGCGTCTGAGGTTTCCTGCCAAAAGAGAGAGCGTAACTAATCCTGGTGCTCATGCTAATCATGTTTTTGATCAGACATCTGTGATTTGATTTAGAAATGGAGGGGAGACTATTTTTGATCTTCCCCTCGAGGACGCTTTTGATCGTAAACATCACAGATACTGTTAACATTTTAACATGGGCCGCTCCTCTGATAATAACGTTGCTACGTTAGGTAAATCTTTTCGCAGGTAACATGCTATCAACTGTATTAGCAGTGAATAATGGTCGATTAGTGTCAGCGTCCTCTCTCACTTTACATCTGATTTATCAGCTGCGTTCAGAACAAAGACACAAAACTGCTGCAGAATGTGGAAACAGTTTGTAATATGTGAGTTTTATGTGGTGGACACTGACACAAAAAACATACCCATTACACTGAATCAAGAATGTCACATTTTTCTTCCTTTTCACGCCAGCAACAATCCCTCTGTGCTGAGCATCTGTGTCCCGCGGAGTAAAACGATGCACATCAGTGCTCCGTTCCCCAGTGTCCACGAAGAGACAACGTGGGCATTGTTGCCTCGCTATCATCACTGGGGCCCTGTCACATCACTCCTACCGGCCTCTTATTATCACAGTGGATGTAGTTTCTGCTCCGCTCCGCTCTGCCACCCCGGCCCAACCACCCACTCATCTCCCATCGGACAGAAAAACCCCGGCTGGCAGAGAGCCATCGCCGCATTCCTGCCACTGACTGACGGAGGTTACACAGCGAGCCGTGACCCCTGACATACCGCAGAGCTTAGCCGAGATGATTTTATCTCAGAAATGACCCTCGGTAGTTGTGAGGTTCTTGTCGTAGATGTTATGCTTTAGCTTTGAAAGTGTAATAATTCATCTATTACACTTATTTTTGCATTACTGGCAAGTAAGTAAGTAGTAGTGCTGTATACACCTGATCGTGTCAATAGTTACCAGCTTGTTTTTATATATTTGTTGCATGATTCCCAATATTTAGCTCTTTATTTGCCGAGTTCTCTGCTGCAAGGATTAGTTTTAGTGTGTTTGTGTGTGTGTGTGTGTGTGTGTGTGTGTGTGTGTGTGTGTGTGTGTGTGTGTGTGTGTGTGTGTGTGTGTGATTGATTGACACTCAGGCCAGCGGGGGTATCCAGCCTGTTAAACGTTTGATTGTACCCAAACCTCCTGGCCGAGAGGTGGGGGGTGGGTTAACGTAGAGGGATGGAGGTCTAGATCTGCTGAGTGTAAATGAGCTGAGCAGATGTTGGCCAGATGTGGCCATGGAGGAGGAGTAGGAAGGGGGGGGTTAAGGATAAAGAGAGAGGGGAACAGCATAGATATCAAGAGAGACTCACTATCCACACACTGACAGCTTTGTTCACCTCCGCTCAGGAGTTAAGAGTAACCATCCCTCCCTCCCTCCCTCCTCTCCCCGACACTCCTCCCTACATCCCTCCTTCCTCTCCTGCCTCCCTCCATCCTCCCTTTGAAGTGAGGACAGTGCTCAGGAAGCGAGCTGGAATCGATTGCTCCATGCATTAGGCCAGGAATGTGTGACACCCTCCTCCTCCTCCTCCTCCTCTTCACCCTCCTCTTCCTTCCTCCTCCATCCTCCTGACAAATCCCTCATTTATTTTCCCCCTTCTGTTCCTCTTCACGCACTTCCACCTTTCACACAAGACACTGCTGTTATTTTGGCCCAAAGCCCGACTTTGCTTCACTTGCTGCGGATTATTAGCAGGAGTCTAGACGCCGATCTGAGAACAGTTGTTCAAAGCGCCGTCGTTCGCTGTGTTTTTCCAGAGACTGCATGAGTGTATAGGAAGGAAGGCCGCTTGAGCTTGTGCAGAAATCATTCAATCAATCTACATAAAAATTAATGCCGAACATTCACCACCCCCAGCTTCTCCAATGTCAAGATTTGTTGCTTTTCATTTTAAATGCACTTATTATTTTGGTTTTTGGACTGTTGGTCGGACAAATCAAGCAATCTGAAGGCAACACTGCAGTCAAAGACACGATGGACTGTGTTCCTGTATTCATGGTGAAAGGACAAAAAGTGTCTGGGAGTCAGCTGAAGACCTTAGATGGAAACATATAATCCTTCTATAGCTGACTTTTACCTGACAATCACTTCATCAATACACTTTAATTCAGTTTATGAATAGATTAGTTTCTTTTGACGTGACTTTCTGGTCATATGAGTTTAAAATTCTCATTGAAGTCAAAGTCAAAGATGAAGCCATGTGACTAAAAAGTTGGTAGTCTGAATACCGAAGCCCCGGAGCTGTCCTTGAGAAAGGCACTTCAACACTTTAAAAGAGCTTCTCAGCAGCCACCGCTAGCAGACTTTGCCTGTGCTGTAAAGCAACTGTTGTGCATGTGTGAAACTCTTTAAATGTGAAGTCATGCTGTCGACTCTGCCTGGATAAATGATGAACGAGGGAAATGTGTCCCTGGTGAAAGTGAACATAATGTTCTCTCTCTTTTTTCTTTCTTTTTTCAGTCTCCTTTTCCACCCGTTTTTCTTTTACTCATGAAAAGGAGCATCGTTTTGTCTCAATAAACGAAAAAACGAAGTCTTCTCTGTTTTACTCTTTGGCTGTCGCTTCCCCTGCCTTTGCTTTGCACATGACCTTGTGAACTTGTCTTTAGCCAACAAGTTAGTCAGTCAGTCAGTCAGTCAGTCAGTCAGTCACAGAGTCTGTCGCTCAGTCAGTCATCCAGCAGCGTGAGTCATCCACCTCCTTCAGTCTGCCAAGTTACAACAGACTCAAGGCCTGCTCTGACAGAACAATGAGACAGGGAGGATGTTGGCTGACCCGGCCTAGCTTTATGTATCAGTGCTGCGGGTTAGTCAGTCTAATTAATACTCCTGCATCTTCCTCTCTCATTTCAAAATGATGAAAAAATGGCGATGAAGCCGACAACGTTTGGGGCTTGTTTATTGTATGTTGTGTTGTTAGTGTTGTTATTCCCATTTGAAACACTGATGTTGCCTCCAACATCAGCACCGAAAGCGCCAGAGAATCAACTTTTTAAAGGTCCCATATTATATAAAGGTAGATTTCTATGTCTTCTTTGATTATAGATCAGATCTAGGTTTTATATTAATACTGTGAAAGTATCAGAACAATCAGTCCACAGAGAAATGCACACAGCCTGTATTCAGAAGCTGAGCCTTAAAACCAGCCGTCAGGACTTCTGTAACTTTGTGATGTCACAACAAAGCAGTCACCAAGCCCCGCCGACCTGGACCCAACATCCAAACCTTGCAGGATTTGGTTTCTCTGAGTGTTTTACCTGAAATCTGCTTTAATTTTATTCGATCACTCAGAAAACAGTCAGCCAATCAGAGGAGAGTCTCTTTTGATTGGCTCACCGACCTGTTGTTAACCACAAATATAGCTTCTTATGGATCAACACTTCAAATAAAACGCAGGAAAAGTGTAAAATATGGGACCTTTAAGACATTTAAAGGCTGCTTCAGATGTTTCAACTGCAGGAAGTGAGCACCCTTAATATTTCTAGTCCCTTCTTCCTGTACATTTCCATTTCCTGTCGTTCCCAGCAGGTTGTTGAAGCAGGCCAGACACTTAAAGGCGCCTTTAATGGTGCTCCTGAACGTCATCATTAAAGGAGAACTTTTTGAGAGCCCATTGTCTTCGGTGGCACGTCCTCAATTAACTGTCGGGGTTATCACCAGGCTGATTTGATTTAATGTGGGTTTCACTTGGGATACAATGCAATTGACGAGGCGGAGCTGAGCCCAGCACTTATGTTGAAGAAAACAACGGCACAAATAATAAATCGGCTAAAAGCCAATCTTGCTTTCTCGCTTTCATCTCCAGCTCTTAAACGGCCGGATGCACTTGACGCCCACGCGGTCCGCCGCCAACAGTCACCACTCCAACGGCTTGCCGGCGCGCCATGCTGCCAGTTCAAGAGTGGAAGGACTGAAGGTGGGAAAAAGCAGCGGGAGGGCGGGTTCGACTGCTGGGAGCCAGACGGAGGCTGGCGGGGGAGGAAGAGGAAGGAGAGAGGAAGAGGAAGAGGAGAGAGGGGAGACGCACCCACTGGAAGTTCTCTCCGGTCATCCATCGTGTCTGGACTCTACGCTGGGACACATTGTTCAACAGCTGGATATTCTCACGCAGGTCAGTTATTAGCAAAGCTCCAAACTCCAGATACTGGCAGGTTGTGAAATCCCCAAAGTGCAAGTGTAAAAATTGTGAAACTGATATGAAAGTGTGGGAAGCAGGACAACAGCTTAGATGGATCTCTCTTTACAACACTAGATAGGAATCTGATACATTTTTCTGAATGAGACACACAGTGGAAGCAGGTTAGTAATCCCCTCTATTGAACATGCAGCGCTTTTCAAGGTCAAGTCAAACAAAGATAATAAAAAAACAAAAAACAAACAAGCACAGAAGCCACTAGAAGTAGATTATATGGTTTACCTGTTCCCTTCCGCACCTGTTTAAACAGCTGTCACCAGCAGCTGAGCAGAGACACATTAGGCTAATGATTTACACATGCAACTGGATTAGTTCTGCATTTAATTTAATTTGAATAGATTCATGATTTATTCGTCTTATTCATTCAGCAGCTATTTTTTTTGATGAAAATCAAACCCGACCAACCGCACACTGACATGACTTCACTGTGTTTGTAATTGAGAGAGAACAACTGCAAACTATTTCTTTATAGAGCCAGCATTTTGTCTACACGCAGTATTTTTTCAACAGCGCAGTGAAACGTAAAAACATTATGTAGCATAAAATGGATGCATGGAAATGAAAAAGTCAGAAAAACAATGCAGGTCCAAGCAGCTCCAGGAAACTGATTTTTGCTGTGTGCATGTTATATTTGGGAGAAAGTGGCCATGCTGCGCTTCTCTCTGCATCAAGGCCAAAGTGCTGCCGTCCTGACAAAACAACGAGACGTGACACAAGAGCTAAAAAGCCTCTTCTGTCTCTCTTTAGCTCTTATGTTATTGCCTGTGTAATTAATCTATGACAGCTTTATAATTATTATACCCTCCCGCCCCGTGTCGTCACTCTGCACACAGACTGTTTCAGTGTTGGAGGAGCGTCTCACCCTGACTGAGGACAAGCTGAAGGAGTGTCTTCTCCACCAGTCCAAGATTCTCAAGGACGTGCGAGCATCCAGAGGGAGGCGGAGGACGGAGAGCGAGGGGACGGATGGATCACCTGTCCGTTTCACTTGAGGAAGACCTCCCCCCAACCCCCCCACCCCCCACCCCCACCCCCCCTCTCTGAGACTGCAGCACAAACACAGACTGAGAAGTACTGCTTCACCGAGACTGCTGGACATGTGTGTATGATACTGAATGTCCACCATGGTGGTCTTTCTCAGGGGTCAGTGGGTTAATCAGGATTTGGCTGGGGGCTGATGTAACTTTCTGTGTGTGTGTGTGTGTGTGTGTGTGTGTGTGTAATAGCAACATATTTTCTCTGTCTTTCTTCACCTCTTAGGAATATCCAGCTGTACAGCCAAGCTCTCATTCCATTTCTCTGTGTGTGTGTGTGTGTGTGTGGTTGTGTGTGTGTTGATATGGATGTTACATCCAATCCGGACAGCTGCAGCTATGGAAACAGACGGTGCTTGTCTGCTGTATGACCTCTGTGTGTGTGTGTGTGTGTGTGTGTGTGTGTGTGTGTGTGTGTGTGTGTGTGTGTGTGTGTGTGTGTGTGTTTACACGTGTGTATTCGTGTATTAGCACGTATTTTAGCAGTTGGTTGCTTCTGCTGCATCACTTTTTTCATTGTACTGTTTGCATCTCTGCATAATGCCATGTGTTTTTAAAACCAGGTTGTGTGTTAAGTATTGCCTCAGTTACACCTCCTCATATAAATATAATTCATATGAATAAAAAATACTATATTGCTCTAATGTGATTTGTATTGTCTGTATCTCTATCAGACAACTGCTTTTATTTTGATAGGAATGTTAATGTTAACAGAGTGTCTGCAAAGACTAAAACATCCCCAATCTGAACCTGGACTCTTAAAAGTTTTGACTGCCGTGAAATCGCAAACATTTAATTTTCATTGGTCTTAGAAAATTGCTTTTGTTTTCTGAATTTCATTGAATGGCTGATACAGACCTTTATTCCTTATTCTTTATGCTTATTTTGAAAAATTAATTTGGACTGGTCACACTGGTGACATCTTTACATCATTTCGATTCACCCCTGAGTATTTTCATTTCTATCATCCCCAACTTCTCATCTGTCACTTTTTTTTATTTTCCTGGCGGTCGCTGGCCTCCATGCGGCCATGACACTCTCACTTGTTGTTGTCTGGTGACGCCTGTTCATTTGATACGTGTCACAGTGCCTCTTGTCTCCACCAGTGACTGTGAGATGTTTTGGCTCTCTCTCTCTCTCTCTCTCTCTCTCTCTCTCTCTCTCTCTCTCTCTCTCCCAGCGTGGAGACTTTAGCTGTTTATGTTTTTCCAGTGGTGGAGATGTGGTGAGCGATGCGGCCGGGTCGGGAGGAAGCAGTAAAAAAGAAGAAAAAAAGCCACACAAAGAGGGGAGCTCTCTCCGCTGGCTGCTGTTTGCTCTCCCCACCACATCCTTCACCCCACCCCCACCCCCACATGGTTTTACTGGTTTTCCTCCTCCTGCATCTTCTCCTCTCTTCCAGTTAAAGTGATGCGGCCTGCTGAGAGTCGGGACCAGATCCAGTTCATCCCAAAGCAAAGAGAAAACTGTTGGACTGGTGGAAACTTCATGTAACATTAGAATTTTAAAAGAAAGAAAACAAACAGTAATTTTAGACCAACATCCACTTGTTTCTCTAATCACTCATTTCTACAAGGTTCCTGTTTTACATTGCGCCATTACATTTTATTTCCTATACTTGTGACATCCTCACTCTGAACTGGTCTTTACTTTATCTTGACTTATGAGTGTAAATCTTCTCCTGATTTATATGATTTTAAAAGTTATTGATTGGGGCCATTTTGGGGGCCTTTTTTTATGCCTTTATAACAGACGGTGCAGAGACGACAGGAAAAGATGGTTGGTGCTTTAACCCCCAAGCTACCCGACCACCCAGATTGGACTTTTATCGCCAATAAAAAAGGCAGTTATTGGTGATTTATTTTACATTTCTGGGTCACTTTTTGGTTTTGTGTAAATTTTCAGTCACAATTACCTCAGAATCACTAATTTGGATAAAATAGATTTTGTTTCCCCACTAATGCTTTCTAGGAAATAACCATATGAAAACAAAAATGTCACTCAGCGATAAAGTGAAACGTCTAGGAACTCAGTCTGACTCAAGGTCCACTTACTGCGATTGTTTTGGCAGCTGCCGTTTCCAGGGTCAAGAGTGAATTGTGAAGCTCAACCTTTGAGCCAACGCGGTCGAGAAGATCTTAAAGTGCTGACAGGAATGGCAAGTTTGACGATCTACAGTTCCAAACTTTCATCTGCTGATGAAGACGGCGCGATAATGATCAAGAGCTCCCGAGCAAGCAAGTAAGTGGATCTTTGAGCGGAGATTGAAGTGCGTTGGACCGTAAAGATTGTATTCGGTTTCATCTCAATCTCAGAAAAAATCTCAAGATTTGGTCTCAACCCTTGTCACTGTTTCCCTGTGAGTGGAAACACAGACTCACACAAACAAACCCAGTTGCAAAACCTCAAGTGAACATGAGCGGGAGAGAGAGAGTCGGATGCAAACAGTTAACGACCAATTTCCACCTTCGCTTCCAATTCGATCTCATTAAGTGCACACAGGGCTGGTTTTACTGCACAAGCATGGTGTAAACCCTCGAGTGCGTGTGTGTGTGTGTGCGTGTGTGTGTGTGTGTGTGTCTCTTTAGTGCCTTGTGAACATGATCCCATAACCTGTTAATAGCTTCCTGGAGGAGGGGTTTCCTGTTGATATTGAGGAAGGAGCTCTGTTGATTTGCCACCGGGCAAACGCATGGTTGCAGTTTACTGCTGAAGTGTATGTGTGTGTGTGTGTGTGTGTTTGTATTTATGTGTTTGTCCTCCAGTTGATTGGCTATGGACGTATTTGTGGAAGTCTCGGTTAGCGTTATATTGATTTTTTTAAGCTGATATTGACCCTCTATCAGATATCAGTTAACTGTCTTTGCTGCTGATGTTTGTTCCTGAAAGAAGTAAAACGTAAAATGGAACTTTTCCACATTAAAATGAGTAGACCTACGTTATCACATATATACTTTACATTATCCCATATGTTTCCAGCAATTCTCAAACCTAGAGAAATCTGTGATCCGTTTCATTTGGTCGCCCGTTGATGACGTCACAACCCCTGTGCGTATATGCATCTTAAGTTATCAGAGAAGCAATCCATGGAGGTGACTGGAGTTTTGTTTGTGGTGTTCACAGGAATGAAAAATGACATTTTAAAGAATTTAATTACACAGATTTACATCATACAATTACAGATTACACTTTCAATGGAACTGCTTTTTTCCACCAAACAAAATGTGATGAACATGCCCATTAACTGTTTAATAATCTTTAGGGCAGGTTTAGTAGGTCGGATAAGTTGCCTCTCTTTTAAAGAGTTGGTCATTCAAGAGGAGTCTGGGTTTCAGTGGAAAGTATCAGTGTCCTCCTCGGGGTCCAGATCCTGTTCCAGAGGTTTTTCCACCTGAAGAAGAAGAAGAAGAAGAAGATTCTGGCTTCTAAACAAAATATTTCTCTCTGCTTTCAGAAGCTAAAAATAATAGGCCACAACCTTTCTATATATACAAACATTTGACCCCATATAATGAAGTCGCAGGCGGAAGTTTAAACGTTATCTTTAGACAGACCTCTTCTCCTCCTCCTCTTCCTCCTCTTCTCCTTTCCTGCCGCTTCTCGTCTATCTCTGAAAAACAGGAGGCTTATCTTTTTTTTTTGGAAATTCCCCCCATTAACCCCCTCCAGGGGCTGAGGTGATAGACGGAGAGCAGGGACAAAGGAGGAGAGAGTGTAGAAGAGAAAGAAGAGGGGACGGAGGACAGGCATGAGGAGAGGAGGACTGTGCACCCACGCCTATTGAGTTACAGTGAGTCTCTAACCGGGCTGAACAATAATTGATTGTAGTTTATCTAATGTGCACACCTATTCACACACACACACACACACACACACACACACACACAGTGACGCCTGTTCAAATAGGTGCAGAAGGGGACGGGCAAACAGTGAAACCTGCACACTGTTCAACTAGTGGCTCCTCTGTTTGTTTTTTATGTCTCTGTTTGACTTTTCCTCAGCCGGAAAAATGCCGCCTGTTTGCCAGAGGGGGTTTAACAACCTGCTTCCGTTCCCTCGCTCATAAAAAAACAAAAAAACAAACAAACACACACAAAAAGAAAAGGTTTTTAATTTTTACATGATTGGCAGTTAAAGTTCTCACAGCTGATCTCCCCGTTTTTTCCACCGGGAGAATATAATGCACAGGCCGAGTCGTTGCAGTGCAAATTGTAACGGTTAAAACAGTATTTTATGACCTGCGCGAAGGGAAACAGTGAATAAACGTGTGACTGACGTTTTCCCTCTTTGAACCTGCGTTGCAGTATCCAACCACTTAACCACAAATCAATTAAATTCTGCCTTCACATTTACTGGTAAAATGCACCCTAGAAAATAAATAAACATGCATCTTAAGGCCCAGTTTCACTGACTATAGCTCCATTCAAGAGCTCCAAGACCTGAGGAATAACATTCTGGGAAAGCGAGAAATGATGCGCGACAGTTTTTGGGAAAGATTTCACCTAATGGGGAAATTACAGCAACAAAATAGTTCCTGCAACAGTAAGACATTTTGCAGAATTTAAAATATCAAACTCACTATTAACAGAAACTGTTAAATAATCTCAAGCAATCACAGCCACTTGTGATCTTCTGGACTTGCAAGCGTGTCGAGCTCTTCATCAGTCAACTTTTTACGCCCCCCCCCCAACCCCCCCTCCACCTCCACCTCCACCTCCACCTCTGCAACCGCTGCAACAACAAAGCCCAGTGAGGACCAGCGGAGGACACGCGGTCCTGAGCAGCAGTACTCTGATGCAGCATAGCATGCTGGGACATCTTTGCAGACTGGTCTCAGCTTAACCACTCGTGGCCTGTTTTTACAGGGCTTAGCGTGTTGAAAGCTTATCTCCGGTGGAAAGGGGGGAGCAGTGGATGAAAAAAAAAAAAAAAAAAAAAGGGGGGGGAAAAAAAAGTGA